AAACGTCGAATGGAAAAAGTATAATTAATAACAGTGTCGAAGAAAAACTGCCAGAGAAAAAAAGTAGAAGAATTTTGAAAAGGAAAACGTAGAATGAAATAGATGTCTATAGATAACGAGATTTTTTTCTTTTGATTTGGTATTTGTTGTTAGTGGGATAAGTAAAATTCGTCGTTGTCCTCGTCTATAGTCTATACTAGTTCATTGTTAGCGTATACTATATATATAAATCAGTCTGACAAAAACAGCTAACAAATAATTTTCTCTTCAATCGTTGGCAATGGCCAGTGCAATATCATTCTTAACGACAAATAAAGGTAAACCATTACTAGTGTTTAACCAATATATGTTCAAATGCAATAAAACGTCCTTATCAAAAAAGTATTGGGTTTGTATACTGAACATGGATGCGACGTATATGTACACATCAATTTAGAAAATGAATTTTTATTGATTACTGGTGATCATAACCATGTGATAAATCCGAATATGTTACAAATGAAAAATCGCATTTTAAATGAAACAATGTCGATTACGAAAATTTATGATGAGGAAATCGCAAAAGTGCATTTGTCTGATGAAGGAGCTGCAGAACTTCCAACAGTCATTGAATACAGTATGTATCTAAAAATAATTAAACCTAACTAAATGCCGATACTTGTGTTTTTGAAATACCGACAATATATCAACAAACATTATAACAAGAGCGCTTTTTGTTAATGGATTTTTTTTTCTAAAGCAAGGCACCGAGCGTGTCATCGTATATGCAACTGACCAACAATTGCAATTATTACTTGATAGTGAAATGATTTTCGTTGATGACACTTTCAGTACCGCCCCCAATGGTTTTGATACATGTTCAATTATTTGGCCTAGGTATGAGAGTTGCATTTAATATTGATATGATAAAATGATGAATTTTGTTTTTTAACGAAAAGGTGTGCAAGTTGCATATTGTTTGTTACCAAATCGACGAGCAACTACATACATCGAATTATTTCAGCGATTTAAATAAGAAGCAACACTATTAGGTAAACAATTTCAACCGACACACGTTGTATCTTATTTCGAATCAGCAATTATGTCAGCAGTTCGACACGTAGTAAGTTTATACTTTCTTTTTTATTGTTTAGGTACTACTAATGGTCTGTACTTCTCAATATTTTAGTTTCCAGCTGCTAAGCATTCAGGCTGCTTATTCCATTTCACGCAATGTATCCATCGCAAAATAATGAGCTTAGGCTTAGGTGCTGATTACGCTCAAGTCGTAACGATACGTCAACAATGCAAGGAATTAATGGGTCTAAGCTTAATGCCGATTTGTGAAGTAAAACAACAATTCAAACGTATTCGAGAAATATCATCTTCATCGTTAGATGATTTATTTGAATACTTTGAACGTCAATGGATAAAAGGTATGTGTTCCCCTATCAATGTGGAATTCGAATGATGTTGATCATCGAACCAATAACATCAACAAGAATAAGCAAAAAACATCCAAACGTATGGACGTTCATAAAGTTGATTCAAAGTGAAAATGTTCGACTTGAACATATAATAGCTCAACTAAGTGGTGGTGCCTCATCTTCAAAGCAATCAAAGAACACAATAGGGTTTCAAAAACGATTTGAAACGCTTAAAAAACGATTCAACGATAATGAAATCAATGCAAAGCAATTATTGAAGGGACTAGCATTACTACTTGGATCACAAAAAAAAGAGAAAATAATACTGATACACTTAGTTTTCTTTTTTTTATTGTTTTTTATCATATGATCGAATAAATTTTTATTTTTCGTTAAAATTATCAAAAAACGCAATTTTCGACATTTACCTTTTTTTTCGACGTTTTCCCTTTCTGCCTTTTCCACCAAACCCATTATATCGACATATAAAATTTAAAATGAAGGAACAACATCTTGCACCTTTTTACAAAAATACGGATTCAAATTATGATGATGATAACAGTTCTAGTGGCGATTCAATTCTTGAGGTTACTTCAAATATTGATGAAAATGAATCTGAACTAATAAGATTATCAACATATCTTCATTTGGATTCTACAAATGGTAATAGTAGGGACTTCTCATAGGACTTTAGGTAAAGTGGACCTTTTCTGGATCTTTGCCAGCCCTCATTTTCACCTGCTATTGATCAAATAGTATTGTCAAACACTGTCGAAAAAAGAAACGAAATATGTGAATGATGTTTTAATAGTTGATAAAAAGTTGTTGAACGAAAGGAGTCCACCTTTTGAATCACTTAGATTCTGAAAATCTTCTTTGCTCATTCCCTGACCACGATAAACGTTAAAAGCTGTTTGGAAGTTCACTGATTGTTCCTGGTGCAATTGTTCCAGTTGAAGATGAAGACTTCGAATAAAAAAACCTAATTTTGTCATTCCCTCCATGTCGAGCATACGTAAGGCACGATTAAGCATACCATACAGAAACATTGGTTTCGTATACCACCAGACCGGTGATTTATGATGGTATTTACGTTTTAAGTCATTTATTTCTGTTTCAGAAACTTTTTGTTGTTGACAAAAGTTTACGAAAGTGTTCATTGATTTTTTGTCATCATCATCAATTTCCAATATGATATCCTTGAAAATTACTGAATACATGTAAGTTGGCGGTAGCTGATCAAGATTTTGTTCTTTCGATGCTGTATCTGGCGTGCTTCGCTTTGGCACGAAGCTCATTGGTATTGCATCGTGATCGCATGATCGTGTAGCCTTTGTTAATCGCTTACATATGGACTTTATTGTGCGATGAACGCCTCTCACTTTTGACCAGTCTTTCGCCCATACTTTGTTTAGATCTTTGTTTACACAGAAAACGAAGATCGTATCAAGTTGATCCATATTGTGTATAAGTGGTACTGTCTTTTTTCCAAGCGATCCAGATGTAATTAAAAAAACTTTTTGACCATCGATACGTTTTAGATATTCCATACACTGGTCGACGTCAGTAAACAGATCTAACGCAACGGCAATCTTTCGAAGCTCTGTGAGGCATTTTTGAAAATGTTCTTTTTTCTCGTCAATATTGGTATCAAGCCATACTACAAGGTAATTTTGCACGGTTCGTCTTGATGGTACTCGAGAGGCTGCTGATGAAGCTGTAGTAGCAGCAGTAGCAGCTTTTGCGATGGTTTCCTTGGGTACTACTGATGCATTTTTAGTAGTGCGCCCTGACTGACTGGAACTATTGGTTGCGTCTGATTCCTTGTGGGTTCTGTGCTTGGTACGGCTTGTGCTACTATCCGTAGGGGGCTTTTTTTCGGTGCTATGTCCGGAACAATTAACTTTGCTAGCTTTATGTGATTTGTTGGTATCCATACTGCACTGATTTACGAACTTTTACTACAGTAAGAAAAACTCAATTATTGTATTGAATAATTAAAAAGAGTTCTTTTCTGTGACTACATTATCAGTGATTAGAACAATTAGACCAACAATCTGTTCAACTCGTCATCCAAAATATCTAACACACTATTTCATACAATGATCTGTGTAATTACAGAATGTTAGCACAGAAACCTACGAGGCTTCTCATATTTTATTCATCTCTCTCATTTGATAATAATTTCAGAAAAAGAAACATTTTCTAATTGATTGCTCATCAAGTTCTTCACTATCTACGTACTCAAGTTTCGTTTAAGATAAAACATTTCAATTTTGTTTGAGACAAACTTTAGTATTAATCGCATCCGTGAAATTTGAGAAATCAATTTAACGCACAAAAGCAATATGATTCGATGGTTCTAACATCTTCATGATAAGACTAACGAAAGACTAAATAGCTTACTAAATATTTGTGAAAGCGCACAGAAAGAATGGCAGTTTTCATTCTTTCGAATATATACAGCATCTTATTCTATCTATTTCTGAAATCAAATGTATGTTTGGAAGAAAACTCAACAGCTAAGTATGTCTAGAAAAGCTTAATCTTTTATTGAAAACCAATGTCTTCATGTTAAAAATACTTCACTATGGTTTTTCTATATTATCGATAAACAATTTAAATTGAATAAAATAAACTTACCTGATAAGATATATTGAAGAATGCGAATTTGTTTTAGTATGTTTTCATTGACTCGCACACCATATTTATCGTTGACGTTATTGCTTGGTTTTTTTACCACTTATTTCTGTTTACTTGAATCAATGAACCGTGCTATTTTCAATAGAGAAGCAATTAATATTTTTTTCATATATGCATTCGTCACCGTGTGGGTTTTTTTCTCTTTCAATTCTCTTTCTTTTTTTCGCTTCTTTTTCAATTTTATTTTTTAAATATTTAATACATTGAAGGACAAAAATCTAATTAAAGATAAACATACGACAGCGACGTTTTTAAACATAATTATCGTTCAATAAAATACTAAAACATTTTATTAAAATTATGTTTGTCTATGAATATATTTTAGTTATTTCGACGTTTCGATCATTTTAACGATCATTATCAAGAATATATATGCAAATCAAACTTATAAATATTTTTGATTAAAGGAAAAAGGAAACGAAGAAGAAAGAAAAAGAAAAATAGAGTATTAGAAATGAAATATGAATTTTTAGATAAAGAAAAAAACTTTAGTAGATTTATAAACTAATATACAGGATGATTCGTCTATTTTTAGTAGTTTTATTTTCATTAATATACAAAAAAGAAAAACATTATCATTTCAAATGATGTTCTATATGAAAGGCACGAGCCTTATATATAAGAAATACTCGTTTTGGCCACTGAGCCAAAACTTTGTCAATATAAAGTTGATCCATCTTTGTCCATTGGTATAAAAGTTTTTTTTTCAGTTCATTTAGATTTCCAATTTTCTGTTTGTTCAGCCGTTGTTTTAAGTACCCCCAAATCGAATAATCCATGGGAGCTGCATCTGGTGATTTAGGCATCCATTCCTCGGGTTTAACATAGTTAATTTTCGATTCATTCAAAAAGGCAATTGTTTTCTTCGAAACATGACTAGGAGCACTGTCCTGGTGGAAAATAATTTTGTTTTTCTTATTTTTTGGAAACAGACGAGGAATGTCTCGTGATAAAAGTGGTTTCAATATATGGTTAATATAGTAATCTGAATTAATTTTGACACCAGGTCTAACAAAACGAAGAGAGGTTTTACCAGAAGACGAGATCCCAGCCCATACCATAAATCCTTGTGGACGAGATGAATCTTGTTCAAGTATCATTCGTTCATAATTTGGATCGGACTTTTTTACGTAACAAACTTTCCTTTTTCCTTCAGTACCATCAAGATAGAACCAAGATTCATCGGTGGTGATGAAATTTTTGTAACGATTACTAGCTAATTGTCGATAAAGTCGAGGTGCACGTTGACGACGCTTTTCGACGTTCGAAGATGTTAGTTTATGAACTTTTTGTTTTTTACGAAGAATGAAGTTGGCCTATTTTATAATCCGTGAGATAGTAGATATTGACTAGTATGACAAGATTTGGCAATAGAACGTTGGGTAGGAGGATCATCGATGTCTATTGCTTGAATTACTTTTGATATCGTCGATGGAGTAGCCACCGGTCGATATCGAGAAAATTTTATTTTATCAAATGAAGTACGTTGAGGACCAATATTTCGTTTAATGTTCGATACAGTTTGTTGAGATATTTTGATTCCATCCTTTTTCAAAATCTTAACTATTTGTGGCTGAGAGTATTTTAGTTGCAAAAGAGCTAAAACACGTCCCTCCAGACTATCATCGATTTTTTTCTGTGGCATTACTTTAAACATAGAATGAACGTATTAAAAGATATATATCGATTACTACTATCACGTGATAGTGTTAAACAATTTTTCTTTCTTTCCTGTGAAACATAGATAAAATTTCAGAACTACTAAAATTAGATGAATCATCCTGTATATTAAAGAAAATTAGACAGAGAAAATGACAATGAAAAATGAAATGAAATACGTATACATAAACTAGTGAAAGGGACAGGTAAGATGGAAAGAAGATAGAAAATTATAGATATATAACCGATTCATATCATTTATATCTTTTTATTGCTGGTAAGCGCCTTTCTTTTACTCCTTCTGGAAAAATATATAGTGGTGTAGAGTGTGTTGTACGGTTTAATTGGTTGATAAACTTGTATAATAAGCGATTCCTTTATGAATAATTTGTATGAATTACTATCTCCTCATACTGCCTGACATGTATTCCAATCTATATTGTGGTTCATTTCGTACTAATGTTTACATATTGCACTGTCTAATTTAGTTACATTTGTATCCATTATAATATTCGTATTACTACTTAAATCAATTACATTATGGTTTTTATTTTCATTTATAGATAAAGTTTTTATTTTAATTCGTTCAGAGCGTCTCAAATTATTATCATTGAAATGTAGATCATTATATGATTGAAGTGTTAAATTAACAAGTGAATTGTCATGTCCAACAATATCAGTTGATTGTTTATTTGGATTATCACTGTTGTTTTGTAATATTTTTTTATCATCATCATGGATGTCATCAACAATCATGATTATTTAATATTTTATTGGTTGAATCATTGATATCTATTAATGTTTTAGTATGTGATAATCCATCATAATCTAATAATTTTACAGACCTTTTATCGATCATTAAAATACTGTTATTGTTATTATTATTATTATTATTTTCATTATTGTTTCGGGAATCAACTGTTGTAATGGTTTCTAAAGTTCTACTATAGTTACCAATGTTTGATAGCATTACAATGTATATATTATACATTTGATACTTATCATTACTGGTCAGCATAGAATTATCAAGTTTTATGCCAGTTACATCTTCAAAATTATGAAATTTGAATGAATTGGTACAAATTCTTTTCTGTGATTCAGTTAATTCATCACTATTATAAAGTGTATCATTCATTAGAAAATTAACATTATCTTCATGGTTAAATGTTTCAGTATTAGAATTCAAACAATTAATTGATTTTAATGGTTCTATCGTTTTTTTATTATATAATTATTATTCATATTTTCATGCATTCATGTTCAGTTGAAGAAACAGTATTTAGTTTATTATCATCAGTTGATTCAGATTTAGTTTTAATACATGTTTTAACTCCAACTGATTTGTCTACTGATTCATTTAAATTATGATTAATGGATGTATTTGTTTCTATAGGTATATGTTCAATTAAATTTTTCTTAAAAGTTTTTATCGATCTTTTTAGTTTTACATCACCTGTTGCTTTATTATTATTATAATTAATATCATTGTGATTATTGTTTGTAGAATTATTATTTAATATAGGTCTATAATCAAAATTAACTTTATCATCACAATTTTTATGTATTAATATAGAAGTTGTTGATATTTTTTGTAATTCTGTTAAGTTTAAACGACTAATGCATATATCATTGTTTATTGATACAGGGTGTAACATAATTATAAGCCCCCCTATACTGAATGCAGAAAAAATAGGTTTCTATTTTACAAGTGAGCCTAG